TTCTACACGGTTAGGAATACAGCGCCACCTGCTGCTTTGGCATGTTCCTAGCAGCGTTTTCCTTCATTTCTGCCTTTACGTGTGGACGGGATTATTTTTTAAAACGAAAACGGAAAATCTCCGTTTTCAAAAATACCCGTGTACGTGTGGACGTAGCCTTAATAACAACGTTTTTTGATTGGATTCATCTTGTCTAATTAGCTAATATGTGTCTATCAGGTTTAAATAGCTGTGTGTGTTTTGTGAACGGATGCCAAATGCTATCATTTTGCTGTAAAGCATATTTACCTATGGGTATAAATAAAGTCACCTTGAATGCTCAGTAATGGCTCTGGGAACATGACCCATGGGAGCAGCACTGCCTTCATACCCTCCAGACCCCAATCCAGTGCACCACAACAAGCCCAATCCAAGGACGTCCCCTTCTAGAACCCCCGGGATCCTAAGATCCGGATCCCGCAGGATAGCCCTGTGATTCCATTTAGTTTTGTTAGCAGAAGAGGGAACCGCACATTATGTGGCACTCGTTTTAATGTTGTCGCTGACTGTGGCTCACTGTAAATACAGTACTGGACTGCTGCACAGGAACCTCGTGTGATCTCTACCCCCCACACTGGTCTTCGGTGGGGTGAGTTTTGCACAGGATAAACAGTCTCTGTGTGTTTCACTCAAATGTCCTGACTTATTGATTGAGCTTCCTCTGAATGGGCCTACATGCTGAGTAGCTTTATGAGGCACCCAAAATGCCATCAAAGGTCTCATTAATAATAACTGCAGCATCTGAAATTGTAGATCCCACAAGACCAGACAACATGAAATGTTTCATTTCTTAAAAATAATAATGATAATATTCGATATCTTGTTTAGAATTTCAACAGCCCTTACAGTAGTGTCAGAAGTACATTTCAGTCACTGCCTTTAACACCTGCAGAGGATCTCCTGAGGTTCAGGAGTCGTAGGAGACCACCATCCTGCTACACTGAAATCATGATAATGACATCAATACCCTGAGCTGGCCGTCTTTGCCTCCAAGGGGACTTAAAATTCTATTGGCAACGTGAGGAGCCGGATCGATAACCCTGTTCTGCTGATTTAGCAGAGACCAGAGATAATATTTGTTTCTTCTTATCACAGACCAGTGCGCCCATTTACAGCAGATCATTGGAAAATGTATTACTGGTTGCGCTGTATTGTGCTTTGGGTTTTGCTTTTGTTTTGGGCTGGAGATGTAATCGCTGCTCTGTGTCCAAATGTTATTAATATATTATTAGGTATCTCAGTGGAACAGAGTTGGTTACTGTTGAGGGGCACGGTGATGAATTGACGTAGGGGCTGGAAACTGGTGGCGCTTTAGTTTTTGCTTAAAAACAAACCTACAGAGTTTTAGCTGAGTATCAGGAATGCATGCAGGGCGCTGGGACCGAGATTTACGACACACAACTGTGTCCAGAACAGGAAGTCGGAACAACAGAAGGGAACGTAATTAGACATCGCTCATTCATGTTCCTTATGTTCCACAAATCATGCTGACTGAAAGAGTTCATAAATGTTTATAAATGTTTTTGACAGAGAACACCTTCTTATTGTGACTGAGAAGCACAAATGGGTTTTTTTCCTTTATTTTTCCTTTTGGCAATTTTAATACAGCACATTTTATTACAGAGCAAATCAGCATAAACACACATTTGTTTCCACATCTGTGTGCATCTGTGTTTAGTGCAGATTTCAAGGGGCATTTCACTTTATTAATGACCTCCGTGAGTGATAACAGATGAAAATATCAGCATATTACAGTTGTATTTATGGAAATGAATGACTGTTTTGAAATTAAAACATGCACCTCATGCTGGGACCATAATATGCTGCTTGTTTTTGTGGCTAATATTTCTCCAGTCTGCAGCAGTTTCCATATATTATATGGTCACTTTGATGATTGTTTTTCCCTTTGCTCATGCATAAGCATCTCATGCAGGAGCAATATAAATCACCGTGCTTTATCTATCAGATACCAACGAGCCTGGGAAATGAATGCGTGCTTTATGTTACGGGTATGAAAAAGAATTAATTCAAAAATAAAATTTGTGACACTAATGAGACGCCGGCCTGCCATCATCACTCAGGCAAACGCGTGAAACGACAGGACATAAACACAAAAAATTCTCATATTTCTCATGAAACAATGTTGACGTAAGTGTTGATGGCTCTTTCTGATATATTGCCCTAATTTCAGAGCAGCGGAGCAGGGGGCTCCCTCGTCTATGGGATTGTGTGACTGTGATGCCCGTCTCCTCAGTGAAACCTCAGGCATCCCCTGAGACCAATTGAGAAAAAAAAAACCTAATGACTTGAGCTGTGCATCGTTCTAACCCTCGTTTTGAGAGAGCATGTAATTGAAATTCCTCCCATAAAAAAGTTCAGCATTTTGGATTTGGTAGGGCTCAAAGTGCACGCTAATTAAATGCATGTACAGTATGATCTTTTACTACTCTTAGGCTATATAGTAATTAATCATGTACATAATGATTATTAAGTCAAAGGAAGCATTCCTCCGCTTTCTTTGAGAAGTTTAAACTTTCTATGATTGCTCAGCAGGATTTCACTGATTTCACTGAAGCAAAACTGAAGAGACGACCAATTTATGTTTTAGCTTTTAAAAAGACTTAAAGAAGTTAATAGTAAATATACTATTTCAGAGGCAAAATTATAATTATTATTAGTGTGAATGCTTGAAAAGCATTCACAGTATTGTTGTTGTAATCTTGATTATTATTCCGGTTTATTCCGTACGTTTTTCGCCGTCTATCTCCTTCAAAACCATTCAAACACCATTAGATTCCTCTTCTTTTGGACATGACTGCTTCTATTTTTCTCATTTTTAACATTTATATTTTTAAAATTATTCAACTTTTTTCAACAAAAATTTCCCACGTATTTCAATGGAGAGACCCTTCAAATTCTCATTCAACTTACTCCTCTTTAAATTGTATCTACTTCCACATACATTGACGTAGAGCCACCATTCAAACTTTAAAACGAAGACAAGACATTCAACTATTCAACTTGTATTTATCTTTTCAATATCTATTATACTTTTTCTTCAGTTACAGTTTAAGTTTATATCATATTTTAGGAAACTTTTATATCAAACATAGGTTGGCCGAGAATAAGTAAGTAAGTACATAATTAAATTAGTAAGTAAGTAATTAGTAAATAATACATTTCAAAGTGTATAAAAGGCTGAAGAGATAAAAAGTCTTAGAGGTCACAGACTCCAATATAAACAAGCTCTTTCTCTTCCTCTTCAGGGAGTTTCTCACAGATACTTTGAATGGAAAAATATCTAGAATATATACATATATATAAGTTTGTTCCAGAATGAATGAATACATTTCAAAGCAAAGTCTGAAGAGATAAAAGAAGTAGAGGTCAGACGCTTAAATCAAAAAGTTGTATCTTTCTCTACTTAT